TTTCAGATTCAAATCTGCTCTGTATCATAATGTGTATATTGTAATTAATTGATTTGATGGGGGCCTAAGCAAACTACCATTACTCCAGTGGAAGTTTTGTCATTGATAGTTATATTTCTAAAGCCTAAAGTATACATATTAATAATATTAAAATAATCTTGAATACACTGTTTACTGTTCCTTTTTTGTGCACCTACATGTACTGTATTTACACAACAGAGCTGGTGTGGAAATTGCTTACATTGTCAAAAAAGTGCTTAAGTTGCATGAAAGGAGTGTCTTTGAAGCTCAGGAAGACAACGATTGAGTCTTCAAAGACTTCATACAAGCTCCCTGTATGCCAAAGTCACAACAAATACCGAGGCTGCTTTTCATTATGCTACCGTATCTCCTCCCTTCCCTCACTCGCGTCTCTTCCTTGCATCTTCACTCCTTCCAGTGAGGAAGAGACGCGAGGATGGAGTAGCCAATGCTTCCTCATGAAGATCCTAGGTTTCATAGTGACGTCACTGTGCCACATGTTAAAGTACAGCATTTATAAGTCACGCCACTTGATGAACGATGTCCACGTAAGATACACGTGTTTCCTAGCTCTGAGCTCCTCCTGAAGCCTCCTCTCTCCTTGTCTTCTTGATGTGCGTTTAAAGGGTTGGACGATCCTCCATAATGGTGAAGAGAACAATCTCTGGGTCATGGAAGGAGACAGGATGCCAAGGCTATTAGAAGAAAGCTGGGACACTGTCTATGACCCCATGGGAGCTTTGGGGTATGGCACATGTGCAATGTAACTGAAGCTGCGACGTTAGAGGGTCACAGCAGATAGTGCTAGGAATAAAGGGATGGTGTCCGCTCAGGTGTTCTTTGGGTGTGGTAGAATGGATGGTGGCTGATATACAATAATGTTTTCACATATCAAGCTTTTGTTTCAGTTGTCACCCATGTGTTTATTTTTCAAACAAAACATATTCCAACAAGACCGACCACGGACGCCTCAGTGAATCATCCCGACAATCTATGATACAGCACCAACTATTGAGCCTATTGGCAGGTGCAGACAAGATTTTACTGCGCATGGTGTACCCCAATGACGCGATATGACACTGTGTCCCAGCCTTCATTTAGTAGCCTTCGAGGATGTGAGGAAGCATAGGTTAGTACAATGAAAAGGATCCTGAGAAGAAAACATGGAGCTTTATATCCTCCGATTTTCTTCCTAACAGACATTTGAGATAAGAAACTTGAGATTCAACAAAGACGTTTTTCCTAACTGCAGTATTCATGTACTTTATTTTGTGTGATAACCAATCATTGATGCTACAAAGACTTCAGCGACCCCTTACACTGGACAAAAAGTTGGTGTAGCAAATACAGTACAGGCCAAAAGTTTGGACACACCTTCTCATTCAATGCGTTTTCTTTATTTTCATGACTATTTACATTGTAGATTCTCACTGAAGGCATCAAAACTATGAATGAACATATGTGGAGTTATGTACTTAACAAAAAAAGGTGAAATAACTGAAAACATGTTTTATATTCTAGTTTCTTCAAAATAGCCACCCTTTGCTCTGATTACTGCTTTGCACACTCTTGGCATTCTCTCCATGAGCTTCAAGAGGTAGTCACCTGAAATGGTTTCCACTTCACAGGTGTGCCTTATCAGGGTTAATTAGTGGAATTTCTTGCTTTATCAATGGGGTTGGGACCATCAGTTGTGTTGTGCAGAAGTCAGGTTAATACACAGCCGACAGCCCTATTGGACAACTGTTAAAATTCATATTATGGCAAGAACCAATCAGCTAACTAAAGAAAAACAAGTGGCCATCATTACTTTAAGAAATGAAGGTCAGTCAGTCCGGAAAATTGCAAAAACTTTAAATGTGTCCCCAAGTGGAGTCGCAAAAACCATCAAGCGCTACAACGAAACTGGCACACATGAGGACCGACCCAGGAAAGGAAGACCAAGAGTCACCTCTGCTTCTGAGGATAAGTTCATCCGAGTCACCAGCCTCAGAAATCGCAAGTTAATAGCAGCTCAGATCAGAGACCAGGTGAATGCCACACAGAGTTCTAGCAGCAGACCCATCTCTAGAACAACTGTTAAGAGGAGACTGCGCTAATCAGGCCTTCGTGGTCAAATAGCTGCTAGGAAACCACTGCTAAGGAGAGGCAACAAGCAGAAGAGATTTGTTTGGGCCAAGAAACACAAGGAATGGACATTAGACCAGTGGAAATCTGTGCTTTGGTCTGATGAGTCCAAATTTTAGATCTTTGGTTCCAACCGCCGTGTCTTTGTGAGACGCAGAAAAGGTGAATGGATGGATTCCACATGCCTGGTTCCCACTGTGAAGCATGGAGGAGGAGGTGTGATGGTGTGGGGGTGTTTTGCTGGTGACACTGTTGGGGATTTATTCAATATTGAAGGCACACTGAACCAGCATGGCTACCACAGCATCCTGCAGCGACATGCCATCCCATCCGGTTTGCGTTTAGTTGGACGATCATTTATTTTTCAACAGGACAATGACCCCAAACACACCTCCTGGCTGTGTAAGGGCTATTTGACCAAGAAGGAGAGCGATGGAGTGCTGCGGCAGATGACCTGTCCTCCACAGTCACCGGACCTGAACCCAGTCGAGATGGTTTGGGGTGAGCTGGACCGCAGAGTGAAGGCAAAGGGGCCAACAAGTGCTAAACACCTCTGGGAACTCCTTCAAGACTGTTGGAAAACCATTTCAGGTGACTACCTCTTGAAGCTCATGGAGAGAATGCCAAGAGTGTGCAAAGCAGTAATCAGAGCAAAGGGTGGCTATTTTGAAGAAACTAGAATATAAAACATGTTTTCAGTTATTTCACCTTTTTTTGTTAAGTACATAACTCCACATGTGTTCATTCATAGTTTTGATGCCTTCAGTGAGAATCTACAATGTAAATAGTCATGAAAATAAAGAAAACGCATTGAATGAGAAGGTGTGTCCAAACTTTTGGCCTGTACTGTATATTTTCGAAGTTCACATTTCCCACTTGAATTAAAAAAGAATTTCAATTCTCATCAATTTCTACTCAACATGTTTGTGTCAGGAGGTCGTGTAGACATAATGTAAAAGATTCAAGCATTTGCAATGCAGGGTAATGATGACATTGTAAAAATGACACTTAACTTCCTCACTCTGATAATGTGTCAAAATAACCAACACAATAAAGTGCAGACTGAGTCACAGTCGATTTTAACGAGCTCACAGCTCAGGATGAGATGGTGCTTGTTTTTTTAAGCCACAATGCTTCAAGTGAGGGTGCTGGCTGAGATATGTTTTAAACATTAAAAAAAAATCAGGACGTTCTTAAGGCCATATAAAATACAGATGTTTTCACATACATGACTGATCTAAAAGTTTGTTATGAACTGTTCCAACTTTGTTGCACCCAGGGAACGTGCCTGTAAAATAATTCTCCAAAGATCATGTTGTTGCTTAGAGTAATTGTGAAGCACTTCATGTGAATGTTTTTGCTGTTTACTGTAGCACCGGAAGACTGTTGCCCTACAAATCAGTTTGTCCCGGCGAGATTGTTCACAGCTATTTAAAAGAGACTATCACAAGTATACAGTGCCTATAAAAAGTGTTCAGCACCACCCTCTGAGTTTATTGCTCTACAACTTTTAATCACAGCTGATTAATTAGTCACTGTGTGTAGTATTTGGTCAAAGTCCTGCCATAAATTCTAGATTGAATTGAGGTGTGGGCTCTGACTTGGCCACTTTGTTTGAAATGTCTTAAGGGCAAAGGTTTTACCAGGACATTGACTAACCAGCTGTTGGAACTTCAGATTTACCCTTGTTACACCACAGTTACATACCAGTGACCTCACTCAACTGATTATTTAAACGTGGTCATATTTAAGGTGTGTCACAGTAAGGGTGATGAATACTTGAACATATTTTGCATCTTACAGTTGCACTTACTTATAGAATTGGTGTTCATCATTTGTGATTCAAAATTGTAAAATGATACGAGAACCAGTCCGAGGGGTGTGGTGACCTTTTAGAGGCACTATTACTTTCCATGAAGCTGACTATGTTTCCCGTCAAAGATGTTTTTGCCATTTCATTCACCAATGGTAAATGTATGGAAGTCCTGAGAGGCAAATGAGAAAAAAAGGTTATCCATTTCTACATCTGATCTAAACTGTTCTCTGTCCTGTGCTTATGGCTTAAAATGGGTGGGAAAAAAAACGGTTGTGCCAAGATCGACCCAAAGGAACAGCGGCTCTACTCCAAGCTCCCTCCAGATGTCAGAGCTCCTCACCCTATCTCTAAGGCTGAGCCACCCTTCTGAGGAAACTCATTTCAGCCACTTGTATCCGTGATCTCATTCTTTTGGTCACTACCCAGAGCTCATGACCATACTGTAGGTGAGGGTTGGGACGTAGATGGACCAGTAAATCGAAAGCTTTGCCTTTCGGCTCAGCTCCCTCTTCACCAGATCAGAAAGGTTATCCTGGCAAAACCTGTTCTTAAACCAGAAACACAGGACAGAAAACAGTTTAAATCAGAATTAGAAAGTGGATCACCAGAATTATTTCCCCCCTCATTGGCCTCTCAGGGCTGCCGTATAATCGGCTGTTCACTTGCCAGATATGTTATTGCTTAGCTTGTGTAATATGCTCAGATGGAAGTATACTCCTAAACAGTTGTAAACATATAACACCTGACTAGGTCAAGTAAAACTGAGGTTATAACTAAACTACACACTCTCAACCCAACATAATATGACAGACTCTAATATTGATCATGTAGATATCACATTGAATTTCATCATTACAACGAGGACTGAATAGTTGTGATGTAGCAGTGGTAACTGGTAAGATGACAGGCTTGGCGGTCTTTGTTGCATTTCTTTTGTCAGACATGTTTGTGTTGCTTTACAGATTTCATCATCAGGCCTGTCCAAACATTGTCCTCTCCACAATGTGTTTAACAGTTACAGGTCTATCCTGTTGTAAGAGGCTTTTTTTTTTTTTTAATCAAACGTTGAAGTGTTTTTGGCTCTCAGTAGCCTCCATGTTTCCGATCCAGAGGTGGCATGTAGAAGGTCTTGAAAGCATTGCAGTGTGACTCATCCCGGGGCTGTGAAGAGAGGAAATGCAGCCTTTAATGGAAGCACTACCAAGGCACTTTTTGGTTATATTAACGTGACGATCCTCTCGCATTTATAAAACATCTGTTACGCAAGACAAACTTGTCAGCTGTGTTTTACTTAATCCCCACAGTACCCTTGGTAGATGTGACTTTCCTAAGTGAAATGAGACTCAAAAAAATGTTAAAAGCCTGAAGTGTGTGTCGCACTCCTGTGTTTACCTTGACCAACCGTGACTGGCACTTTTTCGATGTGATGGTTGGCAGTGTGCCCCGGTGGGTTACAGTAAATGAGGGCATAGTGGAGGCTGGGAAGGAGATCTGCGGTCCTGGTACAACCATGTTGAGTTTGGGCAGCTCTGCGGGATAATGAGGGATGTTCCGTCGGATGAGGGGCTCTGCTACATGCTTCATGTTGTGCTGAAGAGGGAGGAAGTGTCAGATAAGAACAGCTGTGTTCATATTTCTTTGGACATTTTACGTCAGTTGACTTGAACTTTGACTTACGCTCATTAAAGGGGTTTGCCTTGTGTGTCTTCCCCTCAGCTGTTTGCCTAGTCTGGCTGGGCGCCAGATGTGGTCTAAGGAGTTGTGTGTGCCACTGCTTTCTACTCCACCCACAGTCCCAGAAACTCTGTGAAGAGTCTCGGCTTTCTTCTCTGCCAGCCTGAGAGAAAAAAAGGACAGGATATACACATTTAAAACAAAAGACCGGTGTCTCCACAGTTTGTCTTTCCAACAAAGCTGGTAATTTTGTCATCTACATTTAGAGTTACAAGGTGATGAATTGTTTCTTATTTACCTGACTTCCCTGAAGTATGTGTGCCGCAGGGCTGTTTCTGCAGTGATGCGTTCATCAGGGTCATAGGCGAGCATCTGATAGAGCAGTGACAGAGCTGGAGCCGGGCAGTGAGGGACTAACCGTGAGATGCCGCTGCCTTTTCTCGGGGGGAAGTTGAATTGCATCGCTCTAGACCTGCCAGATTAAGACACCACAAGAAGTCTTTGTTTTCCTCTCACATGAAAGTTTGATATTCAAAAATTATGTGTGGTGTTTCTGTAACAAAGACACACACTCTTCAAACATATTTTAGGTGGAACACCTACTGCTTGAACTTGTGGAGGATACTTTGATCTGGTGTCCCCAACACGTCATGGATCTTGGCAATCTGGTCCAGCTCATTGGTTCCAGGAAAGAGAGGATTCAAACTGAAAACACACACAGGTATCTGACTGAGACAACAAAACTATTTACATAGTATTTGTGTGAGATTTGTTTAAGCCTGCGGTGGCGGACAGGTCCATCAGATAAGGTAAAACTCTCCACTATCAGATATCACCATGAAACTTCCCAAGTTGATTACTTAAATATTTTTTTTTGGATTATTAGTTTTCTTAAATTTTGTTTAAATATGCAAATGAGGCATTATCTAATTAAATCATTTGCATTTACTTCCAGTACAGAAATCTGAACATTGGATAACACCAGAGTCAGGTTCTTGTTGCTTTTTTTTGACATATTAAAGTCAAAGGTTTCTCTTTTTATCACTACATAAATCAGCCTTAAAAAAATCCAATTTCACCAGGTTTTTAGGAATGAAATGTTATATAAATCAGGCTCTGGCTGAGACATAAACACATACCGCTGAAACAATATTCAGAATATAGATAGGAATAAAACTGGAAAGTCTGGTGTATGAAAGTGCTACTGAAGTGGAGATTTCTTGCTCAGAGTATAAGGAAAAAAACTCGGATACATAAAGATAGTTTTTGTATTACAAGTTCTCAGAAATTGTATGTTTACTTACGCACATCAGATGTTATCTCATTAAATATGCGCTTTTTGCAGACTTTTCCAGAACAGAAATCTGAACTAAAATAAACACCTAGTCTCAAAGAAGACTGATATGGAAGAAGAGTCCAAAATCTTTAACTTGACCAGTGCATGAAAAAAACTGTTTTCACCCGTAGTGTCTCCCCATAAAAAGTGTTGTGACTAATTTACTCATGAACTTTTGTTCAGTTCAGGTATAACAGATGAAGCCCTGTGCCCTTCCCTGGCAGAGGTACCTCATGATCTCAAAGAAGACACAACCAGCACTCCACATGTCCATCTTTAGGCCGTAGTACCCATCGGTGAGGAGGCACTCTGGCGCTCTGTACCAGCGTGTGGAGATGTACTCTGTGTGCGGGGGCTTGGAGTACACGCTCCGACATGAGCCGAAGTCACCAAGCTTCAGACCACTTTGCTGCAATTTGTAGACAATATTTATTAAAATATGCATGAGACAAAAGCAGATTACCACTGTTATGTTTCTGCAAAGCCAATTATGATAATGACGCATCTCACTTTGATGAGAATGTTTTCCGGCTTCACGTCTCGGTGAAAGATCCCACAGCTGAAAAATAAAAAGGAAGATGAGGGGAAACTATCTCAGCATAGTTTATATTTTGTTTTACAAACTGAATCTGTTTCATACCTGTGCATGTGTTCAAGTGACTTGCAAAGCTGGTACATGTAGTTCTTTACTGTGTGATCAGGCAGTGGTGTTTCTCTTCCTGTTGGGAATGAGGAATCAATATCAATCAACTATCATCAAGACGTCCCTGTTCATCCTTACCATGATTTATTACATGCTCATACTTGCAGACGTACCTTGTATGAACTCATAGATGTTCATCTCCATCAGCTCACAAATCAAAGACACAGTTCCAGTTTCTTTGTCACTGAAACATTGCATTAGATTAACATGATATACCACATGAAACTAGCTTTAGGCGATACATTAACTTCACAACAGACAACACTCTGTACTCACTAAATCAGTTCATGCAGCTGGATGATATTTGCATGTGGGCTCAGTCTCTTCATGGCCTGGACTTCCCGCAGGTTATTGGCCTGCTCCAGACTTTATGACAGAGAGCAGATGACATATGCACATTTAATCTGACAGGTGTATGCATACAATTTTATAAACTGCATAGTAAAACTGCATATCTGCTGCTGTGTATGGAGAATGTAAAAATTTAATACGACAAATGACAGATTTAAAGGGCACAGTTATAAAAACCAGTGCACAGACTCAGATTTCAAGCAGAGTCGTCTATTGTTACCTCATCGCTACAAGGTCAAAGGCAGAGTAAGCCGACATCTAATAGGATACTTAAGGCAAAAGGGGTGTCAAGCTGCTGACTCCAGTTACAAGGGTTCATACACAGCAGACTATGATACTGTATGCACCACTGATTGCCTGTGCACAGGGAAATGTTCAGTTGCAGAATACACACCTGTTAATTGTCTGCTTCATGGTTTTACATGCGTAGAACTTCCCATCTTTCAGGCTCTGAGTTTTCACCACCTCTGAAAATGTGCCCTCCCCGATCTTCTTGATTGTTTTGTAGCCTGTGCAAAAATACAAAATAAAAAAAGAAAGACAAAGTATGATAAAGGGGAAGGTTTTGCATGAACATGTTTCTAGAATATTAATAATGAATATCAGTTGAAATGTGTGAGTATCTGAACACCACCACTGGACATTACAGCCTGTGGTTATTTTATGGGGAAAAGGAATTTGAATTTTCAGAGTCACAGCTGGAAACCCTGCATTCGTTTTAGGCTGCGACCAATTACTATTTTCATTATTGATTTGTCTTTGTCCAAAGACCTTCAGTTGATTATGGAGGGCAGCAAATACCAATCTACCAATCATTTTGGCTGTACATTCAATCAAGACTCCGTTTAACAAACTACTTTGTGCAAAACAGGGCTGCAACAATGAATGGATTTCTGAATGAGCCTTGTGGGCAGAGGCCCAGGGGCCCAAGTGTGAGGGCCCACTGGCCTTCACCTACAAATTGTCACTCAAATTAATACGTGCTTACCGTAAAGACTCAAAATAACCATCAAGAAACATAATTTGACTACTAGGGACAGGAATCACCAGAGGATCCACGACACAATATTATCACGACACTTAAGTCACGATACAATATTATTGCGATTTTAAATATGTTGCCATATGCTGAGTAATGTGATAAAATACACTGCAATATATTGTGATTTATTACCTTTTTTTCAACAGTAAATGATGTCCCCAAAGGACAACTTTGTCAACATCTGTTTTATCTAATAAGATAAAGTTTTCATTCTATTCATCTCACCTAAGCCATTTATTTGCAGCAGCAAAATGTATCTGGTGGACTGAAATAGCAATTAAATGTATTATTCTACTAGGCTAACTGAAGTTTAATTTGTATTTGTAACATTAATAACATAGATGATAAAAAAATGATACTGTGCACTGTGTGATGATACAATATCGCCACATAAAAATATCATGATACTATGCTGCATCGATTTTTTCCCCACCCCTAATGTCTACAAAGAGACACAAAATGACTAAATGCAGATGCAAAACAACTGCAAAGAGACACAAAACGTCTACAATGAGATGTAAACCTGCTGCAAAGAGATTCCAAATGGCTACAAAGGGATTTAAAATGACGACAACTATGAAATGGGGCAAATCAACCACAAAAACACACAAAATGACCACAAAGTAATGCAAAACAACTGCAAAGAGACACAAAACGACTACAATGAGATGCAAAATAGCTGCAAAAGATAAAATAAATAAATAAATAAAAAGGACTAAGAAGAGATTCAAGATGACCACAAAGAGATGCGAAACGACCACAGACAAAAACTACAGAGATATGCATGATGTCTACAAAAAGATGCAAAACAACAACAAAAAAAAGGCTAAAGAATTATAAAGTCTGTGTGTTTTGCTTCTATGGAGGAGAGGTGGTGGGGCCTCCAGCACGTCTGTATTATCTGCTGGTTATTTTCTTGGTTGAATTGTTGTTTGCTTGGAATATTATTCAGTCATTGCACTGCTGCTTATCATCTAATGACTGCAGCTTTATCACCTAAAGCCAATTGTTTAATGTAAAGATAACTAACTTGATGTTCAGTTTAAGGACACAGTTGTCTGAAAGAGCATCCAAAAGCATTGAAAAACTTCCCCTTTACCAAGCTACACGTTAACAATCTGAACTGTGTGTGTACAGAATAGCCCATCTGAATGCTGGTGTTGTTTAAAATTATTGTTTTACCGTTATTACAAGACCTCTACAGTCGCTGCATGTGTTTCAAGTGCAAGTATAGCCAGTTAATAACACAGTTAAGCCACAGCTAGCTTCCATCAAAGATAGAAACAGCTAGCAAACACAGGGCAGAAATCTTTGGAGAAACCTCAACGACGTGCGACCGCCTGTCAGACCTGTCATCACTCTGCTCAGCCGTTAACTCAACTTACGATGCATCCCTTTGTGTCTTAGCCGCCGCATGTGTGTCGATCATCCATTACATGCACATCATGACAATACATCACAATGCGAGGGTAAAAAAATGTAAGCTCGTTGCGTATCGAGGTGTCAAAAGGACACGAAAGTCGCATTACGGGTGCTAGCCTAGCCCCGCTAGCAGCCCTGTTAGCTGACCGTCGCCTTGGTAACGGAGCACGCCTTCGCCCTCCACTCTGACCTGAGGAGGAAACTGGAAACTCCGGCTGACTGTCTGACTCCCTCTGCCCTCACCGCTGGAAATATTCACATTTAAAAGCAACAACGCAACACAATGTGCTCTGCTATTTATAGAAAAAAAGGCCAGTCATGCTTTTTAATCGCTACAGGCCCTGGTATTTGACGCAACGGTGGTTTTTACAGCTCCATAATCCACCTCCTTACCTTTTTTCCAGAGGTGGGTGGCGACCGCTAGCTCGGATGTCTTTTCATTTGGCTGCGGGTTGTTGTTCTGCATGTCGACAACATTTCCCCTGCTGTTCCAGTCGGTGTTAGGTGGTGTTTTGCATGCATTTCGAAGGCTTGCTCTGTTTTTCACGCCTATGAGCCAGTTGGAGTAGTGCATCATTAGTGCACTTTTAATGCTAAAGAGCCTCACATGAGCTTAGTAATATCTAGAGACAGTCCCCGCAAGAGCTGCACAGGTCCACTGCATTCATGTCACAGCATAACGTTACCAGGCACCAGTGCATCCCGTACACAATCAATGCTTTCACGTCTAGTGTGTGGAAAAGGCGTGGACCTGCTCCTTTTCGCTCCACATCGGCTTCCGTTAAACTTATCATTCGTGCGCATGCTCAGTAATTCCCTGCATGTTTTCCTTGCTGATGCTGCACTAGAAATGTGAATTTCTCAGTATTTTCTTTCCTTTTTCTAACTGTAGTCAGCTGTTAGGTCACCATGAAAACAAGATTCACCACCGTGGACATCCGGGCAGTTATTGCCGAGATAAATGCCAAGTAGGTGACATGTGTTAGCGCCTATAGCCGGGTGGCTAAGCTAACCGTCGCTAATGTGGATTTACAGATACAGATGTTTATCAGCCATTCATTGACTTTGCTTCGTTCTTTCACAGCTACATTGGCATGAGAGTAAACAACGTGTATGACATCGACAACAAGACGTATCTCATCCGTCTGCAAAAGTGAGGACAGTTTGATAAACTTGACTACAAAAGTTTCACTGTTATGGTTTTCATATGGCATGACTCTCCAGGAAAGTAGCAATACCACGATATGAAGATACTCAAATTACAAATAAAAGTCCTGCTTTGGAAATTGTGGTAATAATTACTTGCAAGTAAGGAAGTGTTATCACTAACATATAACTCACGAAGAAGGCATTATGCAGATTTGTTCTTTGGCTGACATTTTACAAGCCTACCTTATGTTTTGTATGCAAAATCTGTATCTGCAAAGTATCTGTCATAGAATAAAGTGCAGAATGTTCCTGTGAAATGCACTGTAGTCAAAGTATAAAGTAGCATGCAATGGAAGTATTCAAGTACAAGTACCCCAGAATTGTACTTAAAGGAACCGTGTGCAGGATTTAGTGGCATCTAGTGGTGAGGATTGCACATTGCAACCAGCTGAAACTTCTGCCATGTGCCAAGCGTGAACTCTCGGTTAAGATTCCTTCAGTGATCATTGTTTAGGAGGTTTTTATCAGGAGCTGAATGAACCGCAGAGGTCCCTTCCTCTCCAAAACAAATGGACCTGGTGATTAAACTTGTAAAAACAGTGAGTAAAGCAGTTTCATGATGCTGTTCAGCTTGTCACAAACGGGCCGTTAGCCCAGTACCTGCTAATGTATACTCATCTTCTGTATCTGATAACTGAGATCCAGATGTTAACGAGATTTTTACCAGGAGCCGAATTATCTGCACTGGTCTCTGCCTCTCAAAAACAAATGGATCTGGTGATTTAAACTGGTAAAAACACTGAATGAAGCAGTTTCATGTTGATAGATCAGTGTTTTTGCAAAGCTGCCTATCGCTGAGGGGCTGCTAACTAGGATGGCCAAACAAATAACTCTTATCTAGAGCCAGTGTTTGATTTGCCAGAAATAGATTTTCTATTTTTTGTAGCTGGACCATTCATTAGGAGCACTATTGGAATATAAAACCTTTATTTATTATTTAAAGCATCACACTGTCAGAGCACAGAGCACACTCGGAGCAGAGACGGAGCAGCAGAACGTCCCTCACATTGAAAGTGAAACTTAGCTGCTCATTCTGCTGGGTTTTAAAGATTGTCTTTGCAAACACTGTTGTCTGTTTTGGGCTACTGTACACTAATTGCGGTGCAACATGGAGATATTCGTAGATGAGGAATATAAATGTTATTATGTAGGTATAAAAACAGGACAATTCTTATTTACGGGTTACTTTACACTAAAGAAAACATACTTACAATATTATATTCCATTTTTGCCAGTATATCCCCCCAGATCCTGCACACTGGACCTTTAAGTACAGAACTTAATATACTTAATTATATTCCAACACTGTCAGTCAGTATGTAGTATAACTCAGTGTAATTTTTTTTTTGTCTCAGGCCTGACAGCAAAGCTATTCTCCTGATTGAATCTGGGACACGTATTCACTCTACAGACTTCGAATGGCCCAAGAACATGATGCCGTCAGGCTTTGCCATGAAAGTAAGAACATCTTGTTTATCATTAGTTGTCAACTATTAGATTAATTGCCAACTAATTTGATAATTGATTAAGTGGTTTGAGTAATTTTTTTTAAAGAAAGAAAGTCAAAATTCACTGATCCCAGCCTCTTAAATCTGAATATTTTCTGGTTTCTTTACTCTTCCATGACAATAAACGGAATATCTTGTGGACAAAATTGTTGGCTTTCAAAAACACTGATTGACATTTTGCAACATTTTCTGACAATTCATAGACCAAACAACTAATCAATTAATCGAGAAAATAATCGATAGATCAACTGACAGTGACAATTTCGCCCTATTGTTGGCTTTTATAATATTTGATTTGTGATTCAAGTCAGATTTTACTGAGAATTCCATATAAACCCTTGTTTTCCTTGAAATCCAGTGTGGCGAACATCAACCGGACAATTTTAATCAATCCATACAGATTTTATATTTATGTCAATATCAGTACTAGCTTGTTTTTGTTGTGATTTTCCTGTCTTTGTTTATTCATGTATAAGTTGTGATGAAACCAAACGTTTAAAGCAACTTTCTCCCTAGTGTCGAAAACACCTGAAGACACGGCGGTTGACCCAGATTAAGCAGCTCGGTATCGACAGGATTGTCGACATCCAGTTTGGCTCAGACGAGGCTGCCTACCACTTGATTGTTGAACTGTATGACAGGGTGAGAAAACAGTGTGAGATATCAAACTTCAGATTACATCAGCCCTGATCCTGAACCATCACTTTGATACATGCCCGTGTGTTTGTGTATATCCACCTTCAGGGTAACGTCATTCTCGCAGACCACGAGTACACCATCCTGAACCTGCTGCGGTTTCGTACAGCAGAGGCAGAAGACGTAAAGATTGCTGTTAGAGAGCGGTACCCTGTGGAGAGCGCCCGACCCCCTGAACCCCTCATCAGTTTAGAGCGGTAACCACATCTTTACATGTTTGTTGAGTTTTTGAACATCCGTCATAACTCAGTAAACATATACTATTCCTGTACGAGTACATACAGTAATTTTCTCTTGTGCTTTTTTACACAGACTCACTGAAATCCTCAGCCAAGCACAGAATGGAGACCAAGTGAAAAGGGTCCTGAACCCTCACCTTCGTAAGTAGTCAGGCAGCTGATACACTTAAGTTTATATGTCATACATTATCATATGAATGAACAGACTGAACCACGTTTTGTGTTCTTTCCAAACACCCTCTTCAGCCTATGGAGCCACTCTAATAGAACACAGTCTGATAGAGGCAGGGCTACCAGGCTCTGCCAAAGTTGACACCCAAGTCGATGCTGCACAAGGTATGCCAGAGAAATAAAGGTTACTATGGTTTTATGATTAATGGCAGTAGCAGAGAAGTGGATGTAGCAGTTCTACTTTGAGATTGTATTTTTTATGTGTAAATACAGTATGAAATCTTACTGCTTTTTCAGTTGCACCAAAAATCCTGGAAGCTCTGCAGATTGCTGAAACCTACATGGAAAAAACTGAGAACTTCAGTGGCAAAGTAAGTTGTTTTTCATGAGGAGTCTTTATGTTGAGATCCTGTAATAAATGTATTATATTTACAAACTACTTTGTTTAATTCAAGGGTTACATCATTCAGAAGAGTGAGAAGAAACCAAGCTTAACTCCTGGCAAACCCAGTGAAGAATTGCTCACGTATGTCTGGCTTTGTTTTACACATAATTGCTACCAAAAATACTTTATTCATTTGTTTCTTTTAATAATACAGTTTGTCGATTCATGTTGATGTCTTCTTACAGATATGATGAATTCCACCCATTCCTCTTTGCCCAGCATGCAAAGAGCCCCTATTTGGAGTTTGATAGTTTTGACAAGGTAAATATTGTCATGGTGAGATAATAATGATCCTTTCTCCTTGACAATGTAAATTCAGACTTTTAGTAAGACTGCGATATGAATGCAACGTAACCCTCTCTCTCAGGCAGTGGATGAGTTCTTTTCTAAGATGGAGAGTCAGAAGATTGACATGAAAGCCCTGCAGCAGGAGAAACATGCTCTTAAGAAGTTGGAAAACGTAAAGAGGGACCACGAGCAGAGACTGGAGGCCTTGCACCAAGCACAGGTCAGTTACAGCCAGCTGTTGGGTTTGTTTGCTGTAAATGCTGCACAGTGTGGCACATGCTTTCCATGTGTATGTACTTGTGAATAATGTTGGTGTTGCTGAGAAGAATTAGGTCAGCTAGTTTATCTTGACATTGCTGAAATACAAGCAGTCTTGTCTCGTGTGTTGCAGGAGGTGGACAGACTGAAGGGTGAGCTGGTGGAGATGAACCTGCATATTGTAGAGAGGGCGCTGCAGGTGGTGCGCAGCGCACTGGCAAATCAGGTGGACTGGACGGAAATCGGCATTATCGTCAAAGAGGCTCAAGCTGCTGGAGATCCGGTGGCCTGTGCCATCAAGGAGCTGAAGCTGCAGACCAACCATATCACCATGCTTTTAAAGTAAGACCATCTCATACACTTAAAGCAGCTACAAGGAACGTTGACTTGTCATCCGCATGTTTACAATATCAATTTAATTATTAAATCATATATTTTGGGTGGGGCAACAAAACGGTTTGAGTTGAAGAATACTATCAGTAACATTGTTAACACTGTGCTACATTACAGAGAAATACAAAACCGTACTAATGAACCTTCATTAATATAGGCCTATATTTTATCTACAAGTGCACGTCACACACTGAGTGAGCCGCCTGTTAATGATGCTGTCGGCAAAGCAGTAATGATTGTGCTAAGTGGCTAATGGGCATGTAGCTACTTCCATGTTTCAGATGATACGTCATGCTTGTAGTTGACCAATGAAGATGAGTTTACATATCAGCTTGGGTTCGTCCTTCACCTTCTCAAAATGATCCCACACTTTAGATTTCCTGCCCGACATGTTATTAACTAGCCTGTGTGATAACTGCAGGTTACTACTCTTGTGCCTTTTTTGCGCCAGCTTTCAAGAGTGCAGCAGCAGGTTGCATCTGAGGTTGCTAAGCAACCTTAACAAGCACCATATAGCCTGTTTACATAAAATCGTG